AACAGACCAGCAAGGGAGAGGAACAGCTATATACTACTCAAATCAACTTGAATGTATCAAAAAATCCTGCACAGGGGATGAACGTGGTGAATATATCATAGCCAAACTTAAATCAAAAGACCTGCAAAAACCCCTCACAGTTATAAACATCTACAGAGTACCACAGTCAAACATTTACCACTTTAGTGAAAAACTAGGAAACACGATTAATAAAGACCACCTGTTACTAACAGGAGATTTCAACAAACTTACTACACGACCAGGACCCACAAGTACCCGAATTCACAAACACTATGAACAACTGCCTGTTGCTACCAACAATATCTAAACCTACAAGAATCACCGAGACAAGTATCTCCTTAATAGACCACATCTGGACTAACACCATATCCCCTTTAAAATCAGGCATAATCACAGACAACATTACAGACCACTACCCAACCTTTCTCATAACTAATCTAGGTAAATTGCCCCAAGACATTACTGAAGTTACCTTCAGACTACATAACGAGACAGCTGTTAATAACTTTATAGAAGCTATGAAGAACATCGACTGGCAAAATGAGCCCGAAACATATACAGATATGAATGAATGTATAAATAATTATCTAAAAAAAGCCCATTACCTCTACAACAAACATTGCCCCCAAAAAACTAAACAGATCACAGCAAAGAGACTAAATAATCCCTGGCTAACACTCAGCATCCTCAAATCCATTAACACAAAGCACAAATATGAAAAACATTATAGAATGGGTCAAATAACTAGAGACCAGTCTAAACGTTACTCGTCAGCTCTTACCAGCCTGATAAGAAGATCTAAAAAACTGTCTTATGAAAATAGATTACATAACATCAAAGGTGATATGAAAATGACCTGGAAAACTCTATCTGAAATTCTTGGAACTAAAAAGTTATCCAAAAACAAAACAATCAAATTAATAAAATCAGACGAACCTCTACTCGCACCAACTGAAACGGCTAACAGACAACTGAAACGGCTAACAGACTCAATGTTTTCTTCTCCACCATAGCGAAAAATCTAGCGAACAAAATACCAAGCTCAAACACCCGTTCATCAGACTACCTCATAGGTACCTACCCAAATACACTATTCCTAGCTCCAACCGACCCACCAGAAGTCTTGCTCATCATCAACACCCTTAAAACCAAGGCAGGAGACATAAACAACTTGCCTGCTTTTATGTACAAAAAAGCTTCTCAAGTATTGTCACCAATTATTGCAACACTCTTTAACAAATCCACTGAATCATCTACCTTCCCAAAAATCCTCAAAATAGCGAGGGGTCACTCCAATCCATAAAGGAGGTGACCAAGCTGACTTGAATAACTATAGACCAATATCTAACTTACAACTGCTCTTTAAAATCTTTGAAAAATTAATTCACAGACAGATTTATTCTCACACAACATATTAAACCCTTGTCAGTTTGGATTCAGGAATAATAAAAGCACAAATGATGCTATCATACACATGCTAGAACTAATATATACTGCACTTGAAAAGAAAGAAGTCCCACTGGGCATTTTCATTGGTTTACATAAAGCTTTTGATACAGTCGACCATGAGCTGCTGTACACTAAATTAATGCACCATGGTATCAGAGGTCACTCCCTCAACTACCTGAAGTCATAAGCTTCTCCTGCCCAGTCCATTACGCTATAATATTATTAATGTACATTTTTTTGTCCTCCGTAGCCTAGTGGAGGTAATTTGCATTTAAATTATCAAAAATTTTATATGTTCACCAAGCCATTACACACACGGGTAGTGGGACCTTAGCAGCAGAACTCAGTATGTGTATGCAAATGGTACAAATTCTTCCACCCAACCAATCACAGTAGAGTCCCACAGGGAAGTGTCCTTGGACCACTCCTCTTTCTCATCAACATCAATGATCTACCAAATGCATCACAGCTACTCAAACCCATATTATTTGCAGATGACACAACATACGTCTTCTCCCACCCAAACCCAATCATACTCGCCAACACTGTCAATGCCGAATTGTAGAAAATGTCTGCCTGGATGACGACTAATAAACTTACCCTGAATACTGATAAAACCTATTTCATTCAGTTTGGAAACAAAGCTGCAAATGTTCCACTTAACACTAAACGGATCACCAGTCACAAGACTTGCAGAGGGAAAATCACTAGGTATCCACCTTGACAGTAGCCTTAAGTTCCAGACACATATACAACAAATCACCAAGAAAATCTCTAAACTGTAGGCATATTATCAAAGATACGGTACTACGTTCCACAATCAGCTCTCCTGGCACTGTACCATTCACTCATATACCCTTACCTCACACATGGAGTTTGTGCATGGGGATCAACAACATTAAATCACCCAAGACCTCTAATAACCCAGCAAAAGGCAGCAGTCAGAATGATAACAAATTCCCACTCCCGACAACATACTCCATCAATTTTCAAAAGTCTGAATCTGCTCACCATTAAGAACATCCATACTTATTCATGTGCCTACTACATACACAGAACAATACACTCAAATATAAACCCTCCACTCAAACTTCTCTTCACCAACCTTTATTTATTTATTTATTTATTTATTAATTTGAACATGATACAGTGAAGTACAAAGTTATTACAGTGCAACATGCCAAAGCCCCTTGTATGCAGAGCATTATGAGCAGGCAGGGGTCAGAAGAGTCCTGCAGTGGAACAGCTGAGGGAGGAGGTTCGAAGGTAACTAGGGAAGAAGACTGGGGGGGAACAGGAGAAGAGGGGACTACACAGGGGGAACCTCCACCTTCATGTGAGAGTTACAAAAGGGGTGAGAACTTGGCACCAAGGTAGAAGATAGATTCAACTTCACAGGTGATAGGGGCAAAGAAGGTGTAGGCTTGCGAGGTCTCATAGATTGAGAAACTAGTGAGCGAGATGAAGAAGTAGAAGTAAGAAGAAGTACGAAGGTAGAAGTTTCAGAGAATAAAACTGCAAAAGAATTAGTAATGGGGGTGACCCCCGAAGACATGGTAGTAGAGGAGCTGATAGGTGGGAGGACTGTCAAGGTTGGAATTCTTCGAGCTACCCGAGAATAAGGAACATGAAGATTTCCCTGAAGGCAGAGCTGAGGGACAGCCAAAGCGCAAGGCATTCACTCTCTTTAACGCTTAAACTGTCCAAATATAGCTCTACGTTTGCACACGTAGCGCTCTGAATGTAGATCAATGTTTTATTTTTCATTCCTTCAAATTTGGCACGATAGGCCTGAGTCTCCTAGACAGGAGAGAATGGGTCTGCACCCTGTGTACAGCATGAAAAAATTCACTGACACTGGGGTACCACGTGGTATCATCAGTTAGTTTCAGCTCCATCTTGGGTTAACATCATGGCAAACCTACGTGATTCACTTACGCCTTGGCATATTAACACTACCATTCTCGAAAAATGAAACAGAACGTGAGGTTAGTGAATTTGACATCGATATAGTCACTAATGTTCAAGGAATTAGTGAAACTGTTGATGATAACCCAGATGACCCCCAGCCCATCACCTCTGGGGTGGCCAGTGTGGCCATACCAGACCCTCAGCCAAGTACCTCTGGGGTTGCTAGTGTTACTACCCAAAGGCAACTCCACAAGAGGAAATTATCATTTTCCAAGTGTTATGGTGATGACAATAGTGAAAGTGATATAAGTGACGATGACAAAATCGATTTTATGCCCATAGAGGATTCATCAAGTGACAGTATTGTCATTATTCCCCAGTGAAACGTGCTTTTAGGCATCGTAACCTATGTTCAGGCAGTATGCCATATGTAGTCGGCGGCAAGGGTCATGGCAGGTCACAATCCAAAACCCCAGCTAGTGATAGTGAGTGTGATCATGAAGGTGAATATACTGGGATGGAGGAAGAGGAGGTTGGTGGCATGGTGCCTGGACCTCATGGCAAGGTGGGTGGGCAGACAAAGAACCACCTGGCACCCTCTCAAACATGTGTTGCCTCCACTCTCGTCCCTCCTCCTGCTCCCCCACGCCCCATGCCACAGGTCCACCCTGCACCATGTGACCGCGAATGGAAATGGACAGAAAGTACACCATTCATGCCACATCCTTTCAGTTTTGATGTCAGTGGAAGTGGTATCATGCCACACTGTCCCATCACAAATGGCATGCCTAGGCATGCCTGAAATGCCTAGGCATGCCCAAAATGCCTAGGCATGCTAATGGCCTTCTTTGTAATTAACATTTTACATGTAAACCAAATATTGTAAGCTTTACAAGGAAATAAAAAAAATATTTTAATTTTAATTTTAACATATCCTGTGTGTTATGAGAAACTTTACCACAAACACGCGCACACTTTCTTTAACACACTGGCTATCTCCCACCGAGGAATGTTTCTGTGAAACTGTCCTGGGACCTTTCAGATTAACAGTCTCAAGCTGCTGGGAAGAAATCATTAGCATAAGACCCTTTTCTTATATAGCTTCTAGATTTTCAACAGGCTACCAGTATTGCTAGGTCATGAATCTGTTCATGCTTTCAAGTCTCAATTATAAGAATCTCTTTTCTAAAGCTTATGATCCTAATGGTTATCCTGTCACTCTTGAATATAAACTTTAGTATTTCTTATCAATCACTGTTACTGAATTTATGCCTTGATGTGTGAGCACTTTTAATTTCTTTAAAGAACAGGCAGTCAAGAATAACAGGATCCCAAATAATTATCATTATTTTGCTTCTAAATTATGTTGTGATAAATTTTCTTATTTATTATTTACTGCCATTCAGGCAGAAGGGCACCATCAGCAACATGCTTTGACTTATTCTCTGGCTTAACTTAGCAGTTGCTGTCAAAATACACTCTGTACTCAATAGTTGCAGTAATTCAACAATATTAACTCACCATTTGCTAGGATAATGGAATGCCCACACAGGTCATAACAAGCTTCAAGTAAAATGGATCCCCTTAAAATAGTGACTGAGATATTTCTGAATATTTACCTGCAGCACATGCAACAGCGCAAGTGTGACCAGAGAGAGCAACATGCTTGACATAAGTGGCCATAAACAAACCAGGGCCAGCCATATGAGGCCAGCGCAAACTTCATAAAGTGATAGGCACTGCCAACTTTCATCCACTCAGGTCGTGGTGACTGGTGGCATAACAATCCTCCTTCATCCTCTAAGGCACCTGAGGGGGAGGAAAAAGGGGGAGAAGAGAAGGGGATATTTAAAAAAAAAGTATCAATAATTATTTTAATAAATGTTTACTAGTACTGTGGTACCTTGACTTATGAGTTTAATTCATTCAGTGACCCAGCTTGTAACTCAATTTGCTCGCATATCAAATCAATTTTCCTCACTGAAATTAACCGAAATGCCATTAATCTGTTCCAGCCCCTAAAAAATAACCCCAATTTCTTTTGTTATGGGTTTTAAAATGAGAAAAATATATTTAAAATAAGAAATATTATATAAAAACATAATAAAACATTATCAAAGAGAGTGTAAAGAAATACATCTACCCTCCGACTTATGACCGAGCTTGGTTCCGACCAACCGGTCATAAGTCAAAATGGACATAAGTCGAACCTTACTACTGAATATCAACATCACATTTTTTAATGACTTTATTTTATTGTTCTATTCTGGTATTTCATATTTTACATTACTTTTTATGCTGTTATACTGTGTTTTATACTGTAAGATTCAGGATAAACACTGTACATCACAAACACTTCTTTATTTCCCAGAAATTTGGCATACAAAACACAGTCATAAGTCGAGTGGTCGTATGTCGAGCAGGTCATAAGGCGGATGGTAGGTGTAAGCTGGTTTTATAGTATATTTCGGTTGTCATAAACTCTTCATTACTACACCCACCACCAGCATTATGCCACCCACCATCATTACGCCACCCACCACCATCACTACTCCACCCACTACCATCACTACTCCACCCACCACTATGACTACTCCACCCACCACCATCACTACTCCACCCACCACCATCACTACTACACCATCATCACTACTCCACCCACCATCATCACTACTCCACCCACCACCATCACTAATCCACCCACCACCATCACTAATCCACCCACCACCATCACTACTCCCACCCACCACCATCACTACTCCACCCACCACCATCACTACTCCACCCACCACCATCACTACTCCACCCACCACCATCACTACTCCACCCACCATCATCACTACTCCACCCACCAATATTGCTACTCCACCCACAATCACTACTCTCCACCCACCACCATCACTACTCCACCCACCACTATCACTACTCCCACCCACCACCATCACTATTCCACCCACCACTATCACTACTCCACCCACCACCATCACTAACTCCACCCACCAACTATCACTACATCCACCCACTACCATCACTACTCCACCCACCACTATCACTACTCCACCCACCACCATCACTACTCCACCCACCATCACTACTCCACCCACCCACCATCACTATCCCACCCACCATCACTACTCCACCCACTACCATCACTACTCCACCACTACCACATCACTACTCCACCAACAACTATCAGTACTCCACCCACTACCATCACTACACTCCACCCACCACTATCACTGCTCCACCCCCTACCATCACTACTCCACCCACCATGATCAGTGCTACTACCCACCACCATCACTACTCCACCGACCACTATCACTCCTCCACCCACCACTAACAGAACTCCACCCCTACCATCACTACTCCACCCAGCACTATCACTGCTCCACCCACTACCATCACTACTCCACCCACCACTATCACTACTCCACCCACCACCATCACTACTCCACCCACATTATCACTACTCCACCCACCACCATCACTACTCCAACCCACCACTATCACTACTCCACCCACCATCACTACTCCACCCACCAACATCACTACTCCACCCACCACCATCACTACTCCACCCACCACTATCACTACTCCACCCACCACTATCACTACTCCACCCACCACTATCACTACTCCACCACCATCACTACACACCACATCACTACCCACCCACCACTATCACTACTCCACCCACCACTATCACTACTCCACCCACACTATCACTACTCCACACTACCACATCACTACTCCACCCACCACTATCACTTCCCACCCACCACAATCACTACTCCACCCACCACTATCACTACTCCACCCACTACCATCACTACTCACCCACCACTATCACTGCTCCACCCACTACCATCACTACTCCACCCACCACTTCACTACTCCACCACCACCATCACTACTCCACCCACCACCATCACTTACTCCACCCACCACTATCAGTACTCCACCCACCACCATCACTACTCCACCCACCACAATCACTACTCCACCCACCACATCACTACTCCACCCACCACTATCACTACTCCACCCACCACAATCACTACTCCACCCACCACATCACTACTCCACCCACCACTATCACTACTCCACCCACCACTATCACTACTCTACCCACTACCATCACTACTCCACCCACCACCATCACTACTCCACCCACCACTATCACTACTCCACCCACCACTATCACTACTCCACCCACCACTATCACTACTCCACCCACCACTATCACTACTCCACCAACCACTATCACTACTCTCACCCACCACTATCACTACTCCACCCACCACCATCACTACTCCACCCACCACTATCACTACTCCACCCACCACCATCACTACTCCACCCCACCACTATCCACTACTCCACCCACCACCATCACTACTCCACCCACCACCATCACTACTCCACCCACCACCATCACTACTCCACCCACCACTATCACTACTCCACCCACCACCATCACTACTCCACCCACCACCATCACTACTCCACCCACCACCATCACTACTCCACCCACCACCATCACTACTCCACCCACCACCATCACTACTCCACCCACCACCATCACTACTCCACCCACTGAAGGAACCTCCATGAAGCAGGTAAATATCACAGAGGTCTTCCTTAATGTTTCTGGAAAAACTCAAGTGTTGAAATGGAAGTTACCTCTTCCTCGGATTTATACAAGAACCAAATAAGGGACGAGGTGCCTCACTACAATCTGGGATTAGTGTGGGAGTATTATCCTTCCAGTTATGTCTTGGAAGAGCATGTGGGATGAGACAAAGTACCTGACATTCCTCTGGGTACAGAGTTGGATTTGACTTCAGATACGCCGCCAACTAGTGGTGGCACATCTGAAGCTTGCTCGTAACTCAAAGCAAAAAATCGACCAGGCGATGGTTCATAACTCGGAAAACTCGTAAGTTGGGGCACTCGTAAGTCGAGGTACGACTGTATACTATTACAAAAATCTGTAACACTGCTTTACAAAATGGCACTGACAAGACCAGTGAAATGTGTCTTAGCCCCTCATACCAGTGTGCCTTTAAATTACAGTGGACCCCTGGATTTCGTAGTCGTCGAATTTTGTAATATTCGGAAATATTAACAATTTTTTGTCAAAATATTAGCTCGGCGATTGTCATTTAGCTTGGTAATAGTCATTCATCCCGAAAGTGTCCGAGTGGCCTGACACACCACTTGAATCAGTGTGTCATTGTTTATCAGCCAGTGAGCATGATCCCACACATTCATACAATACATTTCATAATGCATGTATTCTATTCATTTCAGTACTTGCAACTGCTAAATAAGCCACGATGGGCCAAAAGAAGCTCCTAGTGCCAGCCCTTTGATAAAGAAGGCGATAAACACGATAGAATTCGTAAGAATGTAAGAACATAAGAAAGGACGAACACTGCAGTGGGCCTGTTGGCCCATACTTGGCAGGTCCTTTACAATCCCAACCTACTAACAAAACATTTGCTCAACCCACTTTCAGTGCCACCCTAACAATAAGCTCTGACAAATCTATTTATTCACGTGCAAGTCCCACTCAAATCCAACCCCTCTCATTCATGTATTTGTCCAACCTAAACTTGAAACTACCCAAGGTTCTAGCTTCAATAACCCTACTAGGCAGACTGTTCCACTCATCAACTACCCTGTTTCCAAACCAATACAGTGACCCCCGCTTAACGATCACCTCCAAATGTGACCAATTATGTAAGTGTATTTATGTAAGTGCGTTTGTACGTGTATGTTTGGGGGTCTGAAATGGACTAATCTACTTCACAATATTCCTTATGGGAAAAAATTCGGTCAGTACTGGCACCTGAACATACTACTGGAATGAAAAAAGTTCGTTACCCGGGGGTCCACTGTACTTTCCTTTCCTATATCCTTTCTAAATCTAAACTTATCTAATTTGAATCCATTATTGTGGGTTCTCCCTTGGAGAGAGATCCTCAAAACCTTATTTATATCCCCTTATCCACTTATACACCTCGATCATGTCTCCCCTTGTTCTTCGTCTTACAAGTGAATGTAATTTAAGGGACTTCAGTCTTTCTTCATACGGAAGATTTCTAATGCTATGAATTAATTTGGTCATTCTTCACTGAGTGTTTTCTAACGAATTAATATCCATTTTGTAACATGGAGACCAGAACTAAGCTGCATAATCTAGGTGAGGCCTTACTAATGATGTATAAAGCTATAATATAACTGCTGGATTTCTGTTGCATGATAGATTAGACATATGTGCAACACTTGGGTATCTTTAATGAGGAAACGTTTCACCACACAGTGGCTTCATCAGTCCATACAAAGGAGAATGGTGAAGAACAGGAGTAGTTTGAGGTAATCAATCCCTCAGACTTAAGTCGATGTGATCAGTCCATCAATCTTAACCCTTTCAGGGTCCGTCCCGTAGATCTACGGCTGGTCGGTGAGTGTCCAAACCGTAGATCTACGCCAAAATTCTAGCGCCGTCAAATTTAGCGCGAAAGCGCTCATAGGCCTACATGTGAGAGAATGGGTCTGCGCCGTGGGTGTGCGCCATAAACAAAAAATCTAGGCGCCTGCATAGCATTGTGGGAACGCCGGCTCAGTCACCCTTGTTCACCATGCCTCGTCGCAAGTCAGCTCTCACTCCCCGGAAAATTGGGACTCTCCTCTTCCTGTCTGATAGTTCTGACACTGATGGAAGTGCAAATGAAGACGAATTCTACGGCTTTGATAAGTTAGTGACCGAAAATAATGACCAGGATATCGATAACAGTGCA